GTTCCAACTCTTCGGTAAATAGGGACTTCTCCCCGATCTTTGGTAACGACTTATCCAGAATCTTATCTCCTTTAGTATTCATCGTTACTGCAATTTAATTTGAATTTGATAAAATAAAGCTTCTAATTTTATAAAAGTGCATATACAATTAAATATATACAAGTTATTTTATTGACAAAATATATATGATAATGAATGTTTTATTATACCAATCATTCAACAAGAAAATATATATAACAAGAAAAAGCTGTATTTATCAGTACTTCAATATATTAGGTGTAGTAAAAAGAAATCCATTATTTTTACTACACCTAATATTATATAGTATGATCAAAAAAGGGAAGAAGTTGCGAGATTATCAGGTGTGATACTATTAGGTGTTGGAATTAATTCGTAGCGTTTTTTAATGAAAGAATGTTATTTATTTCACATGAGCATTAAAAAATACATTAATGAAAGTACTTCCCATCACTTGTAAAACGCTACGAATTAATTCCAACACCTAATAGAAAAATTATGAAATCTGATACTGAACTTTTAAATTTCTTTAAAACAAATTTATTGAAGTTATATGGAGAATAACTAACATAACAGCGAATAGTGCACAATTGTATAATCTGCTTACCTATTTCAAATTCTTTTTTTGGGTGAATTTCTTTCAAACATTGTATTACGTGTTTAGTCTGTATCAAGGCCAACTAAAAGGTTTTAAAAATACATTATTCATGTTCAAAGTAAAAAAACATGCTTCTTTGCAATTTCATGTAATAAAATACAATTTAAAAAATATATAATTATATGTATATGTAAAATTGTGTAACAGAGTTTATTTTCTAAATTAATATTTTAATTACATATTAAAAAAAATCATTTTGCAATTATATTTTTTATATAAGTTTAAATATCGGTTTATCAATAGTCATCACTGATGATAAATTAAAAAAAATTTTTAAAATAGCTGAGTAATCTTATGCCAGAGATACAAGAACAGTCCAGACACGCAGCAGTGATTACATAAAATTAATAATTGTCATCGATAAGAGATGTCTTGTAATCAATCTTCTTAATTAAAAGAGAAACAGAAATCATTCTTTACATAATTTTACATAATGCGATTTGCGGTTTTCTCAAACAATTTTTTTCCTTGTAAAACCGAAAAACCGGATTAAAAAAAAACGAAGCGTGCACTCACCTCGCTTTTCCGAGATCCAACTCGGATTACATCACATTTTTTATCGTCGTTCATTATTACGTTTTGTACACGTATAGTCGAGCGTTAAACTTCGGAATGTATTAGGTGTTAATAGGTACAAGACATCAAGTATGAAAAATAACGATGGAAGAAGGGATGTGAAGATCTGAAAGATACTCTAATTGGGTCGAGGAACGTGAACACTTTCACTACAAACTAGGAACTGCGCTTGACCTTACGATTTCTTGCGTTTCTACGAACGAGATGTGCGAGGAAAAAAGACGAAATTATAGGGTTAATGTGCGTAAGCTGAATTTTTTCACAGTCACTGGCACTGCAGCAGAATGTGAAATTGATTAAGAAAGTTTTGGAAGAATGACAACGATAAAACTTAAACTACCGCCATAGCGAATGCAACGCAACTGACCGTGATTGACAAAACGGAGTAAAATATAAAATTATAAATAATCACTCGAGTGATACCACGTGTTACCAAGATGTCGCTCGACATTCGTCGATGAACAATCTGAGAAGGAATCTGATTTATCAATAGAAAATAACAATAGTATAAAAGTATATAAAATAATGTAGTCGCGAATCTCTCGAAAATTAACAATTTATAATATTAGGAGAATATAATCTGTAAGAATTGTATTTTCTAAAATTTTGTTATTTCTGAAGAATTAGCCTAGTCACTAACGAGATATACAATATTTAAAATCATCAATTGAGCTTCTCTGCACCATCGAGATATTAGGCCTGTTCTTTTTAACTGAACTTTTGTACCAATTTATCTTTCCTCTTCTTCCTCCTGAAGAAAAAAGGTAAAGTGATGCAAAAGTTCAGCTAAAAAGAACAGACCTATTATAGGTTTGTTTTTATATTGCTGCACTCTGAATCGGTGCAATAAATTGAAAATATACATTTGTTTCACTTCAACTTATTGCACTGTGTGTACTAGTTTAGAAAGTGCATTAATAAAAAACAGATCTTATGTACACATGTCCGTATTGCTTGCACCCCTTTAGGTCTGTTCACAAAGAATACAAATAGCAGACCTATTATTATCCTCGTCAATGCACGTGGATTGAGTAGAATCATGCAGAATAAATTTTGAGTTGAAAGTTTAAATTAACAATTGATATGCGTTAATTGTGACAACGTTTCCATAGTTTCTACATTTCCAACGAATTGAAAGTTTAACAATTGATATGCGTTAATTGTGACGTTTCTAGTTTCCACCGTTTTCACCATGAACGTTTCCAACATGAGCAAAGAAATTAAACATTTTTCAGATTTAAAACTGAATTCTTGGCTCCTTGCGCAATGCGAATCTATGGGTAAGGAATTTTCCATAAAAATCATTTACTAAAAACCTAAAATAATACTCGATGATATATAAAATTTCCAGTATTTAATGGCATTCAATGCTAAACTTTTGCCAAATTGCTTTTTGATATTTGACAGCTATTATTTATTTTAGGCTTAAAAAAACCAACTCCCATTCAGCAAAATTGCATTCCTCGAATACTGATGGGTGAAGATTGCATAGGTTGTGCCAAAACTGGTAGTGGCAAAACTTTGGCATTTGTCCTGCCTATTTTGCAAAAATTGTGCGAGGATCCGTATGGCATATTTGCTCTTGTGTTAACACCAACGAGGGAACTAGCTTTTCAGGTGAAAAATTTTACTTCATTATGTCATTGTAATATAAATCTCATATATATATATATATATACATATAATTGTTATATATTTATGGAATATTTTGGATTATCCTATAATATAATAAGTTTAAATGTTTCGAAATAATAGAGAATGATTTCACCAAGATAAACCATGCTTGCATTTAATTATAATAAATCTCATTATTGAGATTATTTTAGATCGCTGATCAATTCACCGCAATTGGCAAGGCTATCAATCTGAAAAAATGTGTAATTGTTGGTGGCATGGATATGATGGTACAAGGATTAGAATTGTCAAAACGGCCACATATAGTTGTAGCTACACCAGGTCGATTGGCAGATCATTTGGATAGCTGCGATACATTCTCCTTGCAAAAAATCAAATTTTTAGTATTGGATGAAGCCGATAGATTGCTTGGTGGCCATTTCGATGGACAATTGAAGACAATATTTGCCGCATTGCCCAAACAGAAACAAGTATTATTTTTCAGCGCTACTATGACAGATACTCTGGATAAAGTAAAGCAAATAGCTTCTGCTGAGGTATATTTCAATACTGCAACTGTATGAAAGAGTGAAAACTACAGTGATATAAGTCACTTAAAAAATTTTTTTATAATTTTTAATAATGTGTGTGAAGAGTTTTTTATTTTGTATTTTCATTTTTATCATAATTAAAAGACTTACATCATTATAGGTTTTCCCTCCTTTATGTATTATATTACATTCAATTTACCGAAATGAAACTTTTTATTCAGGTTTTTACATGGCAAGAGGAAGATGACTTTGGTATTGCCACTGTGAAGGAATTAGATCAACGCTACGTATTGTGTCCTAAGGATGTGCTCGATTCATATCTGGTAGAAGTAATTAAGACGTTTCGTACCACGAACGAGAATGGTTCTATCATGATATTTACGGACACTTGCAAGTAAATAATTGTTTTCGTCACATAATATAAAATTAATTATATATTTAGACTTAAATAATTACTAATATCATTATTTTGTTATATTTAGATACTGTCAGTTATTATCCATGATGTTGAATAATGTTGGATTTACGAACGTGGCTCTTCATGCAATGATAAAGCAAAAGGAACGTTTAGCAGCGCTAAATAAATTCAAGTCAAATCACGTACAGATATTAATTGCTACTGATGTTGCGGCGAGAGGTTTGGATATCCCCACAGTACAATTAATCATTAATCATGTAATACCGAATGTACCAAAAGAATATATTCATAGAGTCGGTAGAACAGCTCGCGCAGGTAAAAACGGTATGTCGATAAGCTTGATAACTCCAAACGACATAAAGTTGTTGCACGCAATTGAAAATGTCATAGGCATTAAGTTAACGGAGTATAAGATAGACGGTGAGTACATATCCTGTTTTACGCTTTATTTTTTTTTAAGTAATTAAAAATTGCATCTGATTATCTTTTAATTGATGCTAGACAAGAAAATCATTACAATCTTGACGCAAGTATCAGTGGCAAAACGAACAGCAGAAATCAAATTGGACGAGACTGACTTTTATGAAAAGAAAATGATCAATAAGCAAAAGAAGTTAATCTTAGAAGAATTGGATGGAAGCCAACTACCGGATGAGGTAGATATCTTCGAAGAGGAGAGAGAAAAACGTAGGAAGAAGAGAAAAAGACAATTGTTGAGGCATCTTTTATAAAACCAGCTAATATACGAAACACACCAATTTACAACAAATAATTAAACTATATATAATTTGTGATACAATGATAAATAGTATTATTTATCTTTTTATTTATCGTCATCTTTTTATCGTATTGTACTCAAGATGTTACAATTTGTATTTAAATGATAAAAATGGACGTTTGTATCTCTATATGCATAATTATTTCAGAGATCAATTGTATAAAAATATGAACTAAGATTTTTTTATCGACACAATGTTTTTAAAAATATATTTTTTGCCAAACTTGATGTCAATTGCTCGTAAAATTTTATATAAATACTTTATAAGTTTAAATATATACAAAATTGTCTATTGTCTATGTATGCATATTATGTATGTGGCAAGTGTTAAGTGTACGAAATAGAATGTAATCGAAAAGGCAACTTCATATAAAAACATACAACATGTGAAAGAATAGCGCACTTTTACTTTATACTTAGATACTTAGAGACGTGCTCTAATCTTTTCTTCGTTTTGTATTAAGTTTAATTTTTGTAAAAATGCGTAGAGTTCGGCAACGTATTCTTTAGGATACGTATAGAAGTGGGAAACGTGCGGCGACTCTTCGAATATCTTCATGTATGTCTGTAATACAAATGTAGTATATATTTTTACATTCTATCACGAGCTAGTGACACGCGAATCGTACCTTTATTCCTAAAGAATCCCAGGTGTCGCGCAAAGATAAATTGCTGGTTACAGCTCCAACAGGATCAGTTTTGCTTACAAATAATAATGCTGGTACACGTAGTACGTTAGCAGCATGAAATACCTGACTGGATCGAATATAATACTGTGTCGCTTGCTGGTGGAATGTCTTCATGTGATATCTGAAAGTAAGAAAGAAAGTAAGTTGACATTACTCAAAGATAATTATTTTATCAATTCTATTCTCTGTTACTTACTCTACGTATTTTCGTAACATAGATTGCAGCATCATGTTTTTCGGAAATACCGCACGAGGGAAACCAATTGTGATTTGACTAATATCAGCTATGCTGTCCCACACCTGTCCAACAATTCTATCAGTAACAGTATTGTACTTGTCATTGTTGCTTTGTATCAAATCCAAAGCTTCACCCCACATGTAACCGCCCACTGAAAACCCATGTAACAGAATTTGTTGGTAACTTTCGTTTTGCTTTAAGAAAGTTAACAAATCGGCTGCCACTAGCTGTAAACAAATTGAAAATTGTAATTGAATGAAAATTGTAAATGGACTAAATCACTCGGTAAAAACTGTTCCATACATGAATATGTATAAATATGTATAAATATGTATAAATATACATAAACAGGCATAAATATTCATAAACGTATATAATTATATATGAAATATGTCCATATATGTTCATACATCCTTTTTTCTTTTCTAAAATTACTTTTTAGTGTAATAGAAATAATAATAGTAATATGAAAACATAAAAAATAATTAAAGGGATAATTTTCGCATTGTTTATTTTAGAAAAAAAACAAGTTTGAAAAAATGTAAAAAAAATTGCTCATACATAATTATACATAATTTTTAAATAGAATTATACATAAATAATTTTTTTATATTTCTTCAAACTTGATTTTGTCTAAAATAAATAGTGCGAAAATTACATTTTCAATTATTTTTAACATCATATACTTAATCTTTAATACTTTCACTACATGTTTGTAGCGAAAATTTGTTATATTTTAATTATGTGATCGGAAAAAAATAAACGTTTCGATCTTAAATTAGGTTATCTTCAGTATTACGAAATTACATGATACAGTATTATTAAAGAAATTATCAAATTCTGAATAACGCATATAATATAATGTCGCAGAATAATAAAGAGTATAAAATGCCAAGTTATAAATTGTAAGAAAAATTTTTCAAATGTTCACAACAAGTAATCTTTGCTGAGTTAAATCTTCAAAGAGAAGGAAGTAAAGATTACTTGTTGTGAACATTTGAAAAATTTTTCTTACAATTTATAACTTGGCATTTTATACTCTTTATTATTCTGCGACATTATATTATATGCGTTATTCAGAATTTGATAATTTCTTTAATAATACTGTATCATGTAATTTCGTAATC